GGGGACTGAGGGGAGGGGGGTTTGGTGATTAATTTCATCATAGCTGAAAAGTTAAGTACTTTGACAAATATCAGATGAACAAAACTAGTTTGATCTAATAACCTGTTCCAGTGGCCATCAAATATGTTATCCAGTTCAGGACATTCAAGAGCATCTTCGTCAGGCACCCAACGTTCCAACTGCCTCTCTACCTCAACATGCTGGGACTGTGATATGCATGAATCTGTCAAAAGCTCCTGCTGCTTTTCCCGCAGCAATTCGGCTTGGAAGACATCTAAAGTTGCAGGTACACCCTATTCCAAAGCAATAGCCCCATTATTACAGATTTACCTAACAGAGAGACAGCCATAAAATCTGATTCTATTTATATCTTAGTCTTGCATGAAATGCCACCACAATCTTATATCACAGCGTCAATTGTTTGGTTGATCATTTAAGAACTATATCAAAGTTAGAATTTTTTACCAAAGTAAATAAAATAATTGCAAGCAAAAATCATAAAAGTTACACACAAACCTTTGCGATAACTTGCACAAGCTCTTTACCCGGTATTATCAAAGTCTTTGTTGGAGGTTTGATCAAAGATTCAGGAGTATTCTTCCTCCCCTGGGAACCATCTTTTATCAAGTGGGCCATTTTCAGAATAATACCTGAGCAAAGTTCAATGATAGAAGCAAACGTCAAATGCAAAATAGCTGAATACATGACAGAACAATGGTCAGGGTCATCAATACTGGATAAAATAAAACAAAAGAAATCTAATTTTAATTTTCCAGACATACCAAAATCTTTGTCAGCATTTGTTGCATGAAATATCCCTGAAAACACGGATCCGTCCAGTATCTGTACTTCCACTTCATGTCCAAGAAGACATGTACTAAAATAAACTAGTCGATCATGTGAAGGGCTTTCATATGCTCCCCTTTTACCTGAAATTCATGGCAGTTAAGAATTAAGGATATGAAGAAACACAGACAATTCTAAGTTAGCAGCTCTCAGCCTCTCACCTACACCTGTCAACCTGCTGGAAGTCGTTTTTGTAGACTGCGTTCTACTCTCCAACCTTGTACCCATTTCTTTTTCGCCTTTCCGACGACCAAATCCATTGGCAAAAGACCTTGGCTGAACAGCTTGCTGCATATTGTTCCCAAAAGATATCAGCAGGATGCAGTTCAGCTCAACTTCAGTCTATATACACTGCAGAGGACAATACACCAATAAATATATAGTCCTTGCTCAAGAGATGGAAATTCTAGTGAAGCATATTCTTCCTCGGATATGGAATATTATCTATCCACACACCATGTTTGAGCAGAGGGTATGGGATAGTATTACGAAAAAACAACTATACAAATGACAGCCAGTGCACTAAGCTCCCCCTCTAATTCTAAAATCCTGGAGAAATCTTGGAGCCCAAATCAATTTTTCCCTATTCGATATGAAAACCCTAACCCCAAAGTCTTTAAAACCAACCCACATTAAGTTCCCTTTCCTGTAATTTACACGAGATGCAGTTGATAGTTATCACATCAAGTTTACCCATGAAAGAAGAGACATAGAAGCAACAAGCACAATCAAACAATATTCAAGATATAAGCAGTGTGGCATACCAAGCACGAATTGGTAACAAGAAACAAAACAACCCATAAGATATCTTCTATAAACAGCACAAATTTACTGTCAGACACTAAAATGAAGTATACAAAAACGGAAAAAATTGGTAATCAAATTAAAAAATTCAGCTTAGAAAAATAAGCAACTTTCATTGTGCCAATCCAAAATTGATGATCCGAAAAATTGAAAATAGACCAGCAAAGATCTTAAAAAAGGAACACAAATGAGAGTAGTACACATTTAAACTGATATGAGGTTTTTCAATGCTAAACTTTGCGAGTGACAAGACTGGTACTTTTTGAAGACCTTAATGTAAATCTCTTTAAATAAAAAGGCTATAGACTGCAAAGAAAAGATCAAATTGTGCATTAAACATTGTCAGGGAAGTAAAATCTTGGCTAACCAACTGAAAGCACCTGAGAAAAACATATGAGCTGGAGTTGTAAAATCCTATTGAAATCACGGACCTCCAATCAATCTTATTTTATTCAGTATAAAAACCCTAACCCCAAAGTCTTTAAAACCAACCCGCATTGGGTTATCTTTTTGTGCAACTTACACGAGATGCAGCTGATAGTTATCACATCTAGTTAACCCATTAAAGAAGACAAGAAGCTACAGGAACAAACAAGTAAAACATCAGTGTGGTGTACCAAGCACGAATTGGCAACAAAATATTTAATCCATAAGAAATCTTCTTTAAACCGAACAAATTTGCCATAGACAATCAATGAAGTATACGAAAACAAAAAACACTGGTAATCAGATAGAAATTTCAAACTTCGAAACAAGATAAGCAACTTTAATTGTGCCGATCCATTAGATGATCTGATAATAAACATGCAAATTTGGTAAGTACGGATGAAGAGACTTACGAATAAATAGATAGATAGATACAGAGAGAGGGGGGGGGGGGGAAAGGTGGCGATCCTGGCGATGAAGAAACGGGATTGATCGGAGATGACGACGCTTTGTGTGTAAAAAACAATTGAAGGATGAAACAATAGTCTCTGGCGGGTCTACCGCTACTGATAACCCAACTTGGACCAGAGAGCGACTCAATTGCCCGTTTTATTATATGGGTTTCGACCCAACCCAAGACCCGATATCCGTTATATTTTCTCCTTGCATTTCCGATTCCGAATTGGTTTCCTGATCTTAGCTACTCCTTGTTACCGTTTAAAGTGGTAAACCACATCGCAAATAAAAGGATGTACACTTGATTGTTATTACTACTTGAAATGTACGGAAATGAACGAAATTAAATAAAATAAAGAAATATTTAAGGGCGTGCTTTAGCATTAATTAGACATTTAGCTTTATAATGGCACATGATGATTTAAATATTTGTTTATATGAATGAACAATAAAAATTAATTAATAAGAGAAATTTTATGTATAATAACACAACAATCATTTAAATGCCGAAAAAATATTATTGCATTAGCATAATACTTGAATTTAAAATAAAAGGACATCATCAAAACTTACACAAATGATCGATTTTGTCACGTTAGTTAGATAATTACTCTCTCCGTTCACTTTTACTTGGCACGTTTTGACTTTTCACGCCCCTTAAGAAATACTAAATGAAGTGCATAATTTACCATGATACCCATATTAATTGATGCATATTTTATTGGATTTGAGAAAAGGATTTGAAATGAGTAATAAATACTATGGGTATAACAAGAAAAAAAAATTATCTTCTCTTGATATGCGTAAAGTGACAAGTAAAAATAAAAATCTATTTTTAGTATACATGTCAAGTAAAAGTGAACGGAGGGAGTATGTATTATAGTTTAAAAGTATTTAATGTGATGGTGTCTTAAAGAACACTTCATTGTGGACAATATTTTATGTTTCATCCTAATGCTTTGGTTGTTCTGCCTTAACCAAAACTCTTGTTGCCGATCTTGATATCCCTCTTGAAAGTACAACATACAGTTGTTCGTGCAAAAAAAATATTGCGGTAAATGTAGTCCAATATTTAAGATGTTTGCCCTTGTGCTTTATTTATTATATTTGCAAAACATAAACATACTAAAAATTATTTTCACACAAATTTAAAAGGATATTCCTTAGTTTCGGAAGACGAAAGTTGAATTCAGGGATAAAAATATACTTAGAAGCACATTGACCAGTATCATAATTTTTGCATGTGTGACGTTATATATTGTCAAAACTTCTATATATCATTTGTGTGCTATTACCTAAGTTATTCGGCGTATTTAAGTTTTTCAGTAGCATGACGGGCATATTCTTTAAAATCAACATATATACAATGGAAGATCAACTTAGTCTATTATATATACGGTGACACTAACATACGTAAGAAATAATAAACTTGACAATAAACATGTATGGTAGAAGGTCGTTTGGTATTAAAATATTTAAGTATTCTTCTTGGTAGTAATTATTGGTATCATTTTCTGCTGAGCCAAAAACAGAAAAATATTTTATTTTTATTATAAAATTTTGCAATCAAAATTTTATTTAGTTGATCAGTATATTCATTTTCGCTAATTAAGATATCTTTTTAATTGTATCATTTGGTTTGCTCAAATTGTGTTTTAATCTAATGATAGAAATATTTCTCTTATTAAATGCACTACTATTACCATTGGGATTGATAACCAAGTATTCAGAAAGAACCAAATCATATTTTATTTGGTACTCTTATTCGTTTCCGACATTGACAGGAGTGGGTTGCTCTAGTGGTGAGCACCCCCCACTTCCAACCAAGAGGTTGTGAGTTCGAGTCACCCCAAGAGCAAGGTGGGGAGTTTTTAGAGGGAGGGAGCCGAGGGTCTATCGGAAACAGCCTCTCTACCCTAGGGTAGGAGTAAGGTCTGCGTACACACTACCCTCATCAGACTCCACTAGTGAGATTATACTGGGTTGTTGTTGTTGTTGTTGTTGTTCGTTTCCAATACGAAGCAAGAAGACACTTAATATTGAATATGTTCTTATTTTATATTTCGTGTCAGTTGAATATTTTTTATTTGAGGCCAGATGTCACGACCCAAAATCTCACCCGTCGTGATGGTGCCTATCTCAATACTAGGCAAGCCGACAATCTCAATAAACCACATGTCTTTTAAATTTGAAAGCATAATGATTTAATTTAGCGGAAAAAATCTCACAAGTACAAATATAATTACTCCCAAAACCCGGTGTCACTGAGTACATGAGTATCTAATATGAATACAAGTCTGAAAAATACGGTCTATAATAGTCTAAGACCAAATACAATAAATAAGGAGATAGGGAAGGAGAGGCAAGGTCTGCGAAACACGGCAGCTACCTCAAAATCTCCGGAAAATCAACTGTGCGAAAAATTTAACACCCGCTATGTCCGAGAATACCTGGATCTGCACATGAAGCGCAGGGTGTAGTATGAGTACAACCAACTCAGCAAGTAACAATAATAAATAAGGAACTGAAGATAGTGACGAGCTACACAGTTATAGTTCACTTACAGTAATTCCAGCAAAGAATAGACATGATTTCAAATCCAGCAGTTTAAGTCAAATCAATTTTATACAGTTCATGTTCATGTAATCCGGATATAGAATCTTTCAGAGAATTTTACAACAATGACAGATAGCAACTAAATGCAATAACAAATGAAAAGCAAGTACAACCTCTCAGGCAACAGTCACTCAACTCGTCACAACAGCTCAACCACTCAGCTTTCAGCCCTCAACACTCACACGTAATGGGTTCCCGCGCTTACTGGGGGTGTACAGACTCCGGAGGGGCTCCTACAGCCCAAGCGCCATAATCCGCACAGACAACTCACGTGTTGTACGGACAACTCACGTGCTATAATATCCTGCACGGACAACTCACGTGCTATAATATCCTGCACGGACAACTCACGTGCCATATATCCTTACCTCACTGATAGTTGCTTGGCCTTACTCAGTCATCAACCTCTCTAGTTTCTCGGGCTCTCGAAAATTACAAAGATCAACCCAAACAAAGATAAACATAGTGAATCAACAAATATCAAGAAATACTGAGGTATGATGCACAAGTAAAATCTTGACTGAGTACAAGACAACAATTAGCAAATAATTCAACAAGTACGCGACCTCTGTGGGTCCCAACAGTACTATCACATAGCCCAAGCATGATTTACAGTTAAATTTCTTCAACACAAAGAGAGCATATAACTAACAACAAGTTATTCAACTTTACAGTTTTACGGGACGGACCAAGTCACGATCCCATCGGTGCACGCCCGTCACTTAGCATGTGCGTCACCTCCAAAATAATCACATGACACAAAAATCCGGGGGTTCATACCCTCAGGACCAGATTTATAACTATTACTTACCTCAAAACATGAAATTCTTTACTCTGTTATGCCTTTGCCTCGCAAATCGGCCTCCGGATGCCTCGAATCTAGTCACAATAATTCGATTCAGTCAATAAAATTTATTGAAATTAATTCCATAAGGAAATACTAATTTTCCATAAAAATCCGAAATTTAGCTCAAAAATCGCTCGTGGGGCCCACGTCTCGGAACCCGACAAAAGTTACAAAAACTGAAAGCCCATTCTACCACGAGTCTACCCATACTAATTATACAAAAATCCAACCTCAACTCGACCTCCAAATCATCAAATCTTATTTCCAAATTTCTAAGTTCAAATCTCTGATTTACACCTCAAAAACATGTAATCTAGTTGGACTATTCGATGATAATTCAATATTATGGAGTAGAAATGATCACAAGAGACTTACCTCAAGTTTTCCTTAAAAATCTATCAAAAATCGCCTCGCCTCAAGCTCCAATTTGTTAAAAATGGCGAATGGGACGAAGTCCCATGCTTTATAATTCTGCCCGGACAGCCCTCGATCCTGCCTCGATCCTGGGCCTTCGATCATGTTACTCGATCCTAGCCCTCGACTCTGGCCTTGATCCTTGCCCCTCGACCCTGCCTTCGATCGTGGCTTCGATCTTGGGCTCGATAATGGCCCTCGACCCTGCCTTCGATCGTGGCTTCGATCCTGGGCTCGATCATGGCCCTCTATTCTGGGAGATTCTGGGCTCGATTTTTTGGGCTCGATTCTGGGAGAAGGAATTTGCAGCAGCTATTTTAGTCCACTTTTTGATCCATTAACCAACCGAAACTCACCCGAGGCCCTCGAGATCTCAACCAAATATACCAACAAGTCCTAAAATATCATACGAACTTAGTCGAGTCTTCAAATCACATCCAACAACACTAAAAACACGAATCACGCATAGATTCAAGCCTCATGAACTTTAAAACTTTTCATTTCTACAAACAACGCTGAAACCTATCAAATCACGTCCGATTGACCTCAGATTTTACACACGAGTCATAAATGACATAACAGACCTATTAAAATTTTCGGAATCGGATTTTGACCCCGATATCAAAAACTCAACCCCCCCGATCAAACTTTCCAAAAATTCAACTTTCGGCATTTCAAGCCAAATTCCACTACGGACCTCCAAATAATTTTCCAAACATGCTCTTAAGTCCAAAATCACCATAGGAGCTATTGGAATCATCAAAATTCAAATCTGAGGTCGTTTACACATAAATCCACATCCGGTCAACTTTTCTAACTTAAAATTTTTAAATTATGAGACTAAGTGACTCATTTCACTCTAAATTCCTTCCGGACCCGAACCAACTAACCCGATAAGTCATAAATCAATTATAAGGCATAAATTAAGCAGTAAATGAGGGAACAGGGTTATAATACTCAAAATGACCGGTCGAGTTGTTACATTCTCCCCCTCTTAAACAAACGTTCGTCCTCAATCGGGTTTAGAATAATACCCGGAGTCTCAAATAGGTATGGATATTTATTCCGCATCTCCTGCTCAATCTCCCAAGTAGCTTCTCTGACTGGCTGGCCTCTCCAGTGTACCTTCACTGATGATATGTTCTTTGACCCTAACTTTCGAACTTGCCGGTCTAAAATAGCCATCGGCTCCATATCATAAGTCAAATTACCATCCAGCTGTATTGTACTGAAATCCAGAATATGAGACGAATCCCCGACATACTTTCGGAGCATGGATACATGGAACACTGGATGAACACATGATATA